TCTTCTTTCTTATTGATATTAAGTCTTGTACTATTGGGTGTGCAAAGACTGGAAAATCACAACTATCATCCAGTACTATACTGTATATATGTATCCGAAAATTTGACAACCTTAACTTGTCCACACTGTTGGAATTACTTCTTTGCCCCATATACTATTTTAAGTAATTCGTATCCTACGGACATACCTCCATTAGGATCCAGTGTTATATGGGATTTTACCGTCTTTATTACTTCTTTGACCCATATGTATAATTATATATATACAGAATACAAAAATTTGATTGGCATCCTTGTGACAGGGAAAATATATGAAAATGAAAAAATTACAAGAAGAGCTGTAAAGCAGCGAAAGGCCTTGAGAATCTGTCTTCTTGTAATTTTTTCATTTTCATATATACATATATACATGCAAATTAAGATTTTTGTTTCATTTTTGGCCTTGAAAATTTAATAAAATTGTTCCTATGATTTGTAAAATTTGTATGCTTCGTGTAAATTTACATGAAATATAATAACCTCCAGGGAAAAGAAATAATCTATAATAATACAAACATTCATATACATCTATGATTTTATAACATAACTCAAACATGGTAATGAATCTGATTATAATAAAATAAGTCAAATAAAAGGAAACATTTCCAGCAAAAAATGTAATGACCTTCAGGTTTTTTTTATAATTTCAGTGCAAATACCTTTGATATACATTTTTGTTGATCACAAATTCATAATATTGACAACAATTTGAATTTTGTAGATACTTTAAATTGCAAAAAACGTAGCAAACTTTTCTGGTTTTACTCGAACTGTATGTTGGTCTACTTCTGAATCAGCTGCGGTGTGGGTCACATTCTGAACAGTTTCTAAACCACCACACTAGCCCCTGTAGTATTCTGGTCTGTCGATACCACATGACCTCACACCCTGTAATCAGCAGTGACTGTCCATTTCAGACATTTAAGCCAAATATTGACCACTATTATTGACCACCAATCAGCCTCACTATTCTCCCTGACCATAAGCCAATTGATCTGCCAATGGTGACCATAATAAGGGGTCAGCTTTGGATTCTTTTTTGTAATTTTCTCCGTGTTCCTAATGAATCTGAATTTGAAATGGCATTAATGACAGCTGCAATCCGGTTTTGAGTTTTTTTTAGTTTCCCCAGAATTTGAAATTCTCATAACAGAATAAAAATTGTTTTGACTTGAAAAAATATTTCCCCATATTCTAATTTCTCCAGATTGATCTTAATGATTTCTTAAAATTTAGTACAGAATGTCAGTGTTATGCCATTGGATATAAAGGTCTTTAACCTTTCTTCAGAAAAAAAATAGTTTAATGACGTAACTAGATCTAATTCATAGTACCTAACACCTTGATATAATGCCCCTGGTTTATATAGCGTAAAACCTTGATATAATGTCCCTGGTTTATATGCAGTAAAACCTTGATATAATGCCCCTGGTTTATATACAGTAAAACCTTGATATAATGTCCCTGGTTTATATACAGTAAAACCTTGATATAATGCCCCTGGTTTATATACAGTAAAACCTCCATATAATGCCCCTGGTTTATATACAGTAAAACCTCATTATAATGCCCCTGGTTTATATACAGTAAAACCTCCATATAATGCCCCTGGTTTATGTTTACAATAAAACTTAGATATAATGCCCCTACTTTTATCTGCCACCTCACTTACCGCCATTGTAATTTAATGTTCCCTTTTCCTATTTTCTTAACAATATCTTTATTTGTCTATCTTGATATATTGTCTAACCCCTTTACATGTATAATGACATCCTTAAATCACCTTACCTTATACATGTAATGCCAAATGAGCTGGACAGATGGTGGGAGTATTATAAGGTTTACATTCAGACTTATCCTCAATGTTCAAACCTAGGTCAAAGTATGGTTAGCTTTCCTGATTTTACTTATAGTGTTAACAAATTAGTTTTCACGTCCAAAACTTAATAAGTTAAAACCTTTGGTTAGTGTTTGTGAAGCAAGTCATAACTAAACTAAAAGTTGTTGATTAAACATGCATATTAATGTTAGTTTAAACAAATATAAGTAACTTGTCAGCTTAATTCTCAAAAGTTGATAATATAATCACACTTAAGACAACCATTATCAATATCATTATTAACCATATCTTTTTCTCTATCATACAGAAATCCTTTCTGTATCAATAGTAATCAAAGCACTTCAGTAATCCTGTACGTTCTGTGACCTCTGAGTGAGCTCAATGTTAATGTTTTAAGGGACAGAGTACCACTGTATCAGTAATCCTGTACGTTCTGTGACCTCTGAGTGAGAGCTCAATGTTCATGTTTTAAGGGATAGAGTACCACTGTATCAGTAATCCTGTATGTTCTGTGACCTCTGAGTGAGCTCAATGTTCATGTTTTAAGGGATAGAGTACCACTGTATCAGTAATCCTGTATGTTCTGTGACCTCTGAGTGAGCTCAATGTTAATGTTTTATGGGACAGAGTACGACTGTATCAGTAATCCTGTATGTTCTGTGACCTCTGAGTGAGCTCAATGTTCATGTTTTACGGGATAGAGTACCACTGTATCAGTAATCCTGTATGTTCTGTGACCTCTGAGTGTGCTCAATGTTCATGTTTTAAGGGATAGAGTACCACTGTATCAGTAATCCTGTACGTTCTGTGGCCTCTGAGTGAGCTCAATGTTAATGTTTTAAGGAACAGAGTACCACTGTATCAGTAATCCTGTACGCTCTGTGACCTCTGAGTGAGCTCAATGTTAATGTTTTAAGGAACAGAGTACCACTGTATCAGTAATCCTGTACGCTCTGTGACCTCTGAGTGAGCTCAATGTTAATGTTTTAAGGAACAGAGTACCACTGTATCAGTAATCCTGTACGCTCTGTGACCTCTGAGTAAGCTCACTGTTAATGTTTTAAGGGACAGAGTACCACTGTATCAGTAATCCTGTCCGTTCTGTGACCTCTGAGTGAGCTCAATGTTAATGTTTTACGGGACAGAGTACCACTGTATCAGTAATCCTGTATGTCCTGTGACCTCTGAGTGAGCTCAATGTTCATGTTTTACGGGATAGAGTACCACTGTATCAGTAATCCTGTATGTTCTGTGACCTCTGAGTGAGCTCAATGTTAATGTTTCAAGGGACAGAGTACCACTGTATCAGTAATCCTGTCCGTTCTGTGACCTCTGAGTGAGCTCAATGTTAATGTTTTAAGGGACAGAGTCCCACTGTATCAGTAATCCTGTCCGTTCTGTGACCTCTGAGTGAGCTCAATGTTAATGTTTTAAGGAACAGAGTACCACTGTATCAGTAATCCTGTACGTTCTGTGGCCTCTGAGTGAGCTCAATGTTAATGTTTTATGGGACAGAGTACGACTGTATCAGTAATCCTGTACGTTCTGTGACCTCTGAGTGAGCTCAATATTAATGTTTTAAGGGACAGCGTACCACTGTATCAGTAATCCTGTATGTTCTGTGACCTCTGAGTGAGCTCAATGTTAATGTTTTATGGGACAGAGTACGACTGTATCAGTAATCCTGTATGTTCTGTGACCTCTGAGTGAGCTCAATGTTCATGTTTTACGGGATAGAGTACCACTGTATCAGTAATCCTGTACGTTCTGTGACCTCTGAGTGAGCTCAATATTAATGTTGTAAGGGACAGCGTACCACTGTATCAGTAATCCTGTATGTTCTGTGACCTCTGAGTGAGCTCAATGTTAATGTTTTAAGGAACAGAGTACCACTGTATCAGTAATCCTGTACGTTCTGAGACCTCTGAGTGAGCTCAATATTAATGTTTTAAGGGACAGCGTACCACTGTATCAGTAATCCTGTATGTTCTGTGACCTCTGAGTGTGCTCAATGTTCATGTTTTAAGGGATAGAGTACCACTGTATCAGTAATCCTGTACGTTCTGTGGCCTCTGAGTGAGCTCAATGTTAATGTTTTATGGGACAGAGTACGACTGTATCAGTAATCCTGTACGTTCTGTGACCTCTGAGTGAGCTCAATATTAATGTTTTAAGGGACAGCGTACCACTGTATCAGTAATCCTGTTCATTCTGTGACCTCAATGTTAATGTTTTATGGGACAGAGTACCACTGTATCAGTAATCCTGTACATTCTGTGACCTCAATGTTAATGTTTTAAGGGACAGAGTACCAATGTATCAGTAATCCTGTACGTTCTGTGAGCTTTATGGGACAGAGTACCACTGTATCAGTAATCCTGTACGTTCTGTGACCTCTGAGTGAGCTCAATGTTAATGTTTTAAGGGACAGAGTGCCACTGCATCAGTAATCCTGTACGTTCTGTGACCTCAATGTTAATGTTTTAAGGGACAGAGTACCACTGTATCAGTAATCCTGTACGTTCTGTGACCTCTGAGTGACCTCAATGTTAATGTTTTAAGGGACAGAGTACCACTGTATCAGTAATCCTGTACGTTCTGTGAGCTCAGTGTTAATGTTTTAAGGGACAGAGTACCACTGTATCAGTAATCATGTACGTTCTGTGACCTCTGAGTGAGCTCAATGTTAATGTTTAAAGGGACAGAGTACCACTGTATCAGTAATGATTACACAGAAGAGTTCCAAACCGACTGTCTTGTGGCTTGGAGTAGTCTCCCTTCTATATTCAGTAGAAGATGAAGCCACTTAAAGGAGATTTTCTGGCTTAGAGTAACTACTCCTGTAAAGCCTTTCAGCAAATAAATTGGACACTCATTTTTATGCTGTCTTTTCACAATTCCTGTATGCACTCTCCCTTCCATATAACTTTGATAATTTTACTAAGTGACAAACATGAAGTTCAGCTAAAATGGAGAGGTGTCGAGTACCAAGTATATCCCGTGTACTACAAACTTGTTACAGCCCCAGAATTACCTTGGATTTGCCACTACACCTTGTTCATGTTACGAGTTAGATTCACACACAGAGTTAGTTAGTTATAAATCAAATCTAGTTCTAATACCTTCTTTTTTCCGGACCGTTTTCTTCCCTGTAATAGTTATATGTCATACAATCAAATCTAGTAATATTCTCTCCTGAGTAACGATGTGAAGGACACATATAAATTACATGACTTTGTCATGAATCTGTACAACGTGAACTAATATCTACTAACAAATATTCAAAATTTCTTGTGTAAGCATTTGTTGCGTTGTGATTTTAAGAAGAAATATAAATAAAATATATAGATAATTGCTGCATCATTAGGGTAATTGTGAACCAGAATTATTGTTTTCAGAACATAATGAACAAACCAATGAAACATGAAAAGGAATAAAGGCTAAAAATTACAAATTTATCTAATAATCGATTGAATCATAAAATCGACAGCTCCATCAAATGTTATTAAGCAGGTCCATATTGGTAGGTGGGGGTTGTGTTGCCTCAAAGACCATTCTACAAAATGTACCCTGCCATGAAATTCTTTTGTCCTTTTTAGTTTTTTATGCTTTTTTGATTTGATATTTTGTAGCAAGTCTATTTTAAGACTCTTTAAATGAAAGGTCCAACATATTCGCCCCAGACACTAGGAGTCGAACCTGTGCCTACCAGCAAGCTGAGATTAAAATGATAGATTTCACACCCTTTATAACACAGCAGGTAACAGACAACACTAATAGTTTTATCTTTGGCAACATAACTAGTCAAAAGTTGGTATTAGAGAACAGAACTGTCTGGTGGCTCAGGTATAACAATCCCTGGACCAAGACATTAGCTCGCACTGTTCCCTAAAGAAAAGGTATTCATTCATAAATCCCTTATATTATATCCCCAACAAAACAGGGATGGGCGATGGGCTTATCATTGTTAATATCTAGTAATTTCCGTAGATATAATTGGTTTCTGGTTTACAATCCCCTGTGATATAAGCAATATAGATGTAAATTCTAAAGTGCGTTCTTGTGCAAGTAAAAGGTTTTTATATTGAGAAAACATTGAACTACATTAGAAGCAGTCATATATTCTGTTTAATTTACCATTGTCGTCAAGGTCAAAGTCGTCGGCTGAGAACCTCTCAGGACCATAGGCTATGAACACGGAATCATCCTGGAAAAAGTCGTACAGGTTCGTCACCTGAAAAACAGACAAAGAAAAGCAGGTACATTTATGTTTATTTATTGAATTTAATTCAACAGGACCGAGGGTCCAATTACAGAACTGATAACAATGATAGCAATGATATAGTAAAATATCACAGATAAAGCCATGCATGTATTATATATGACCACGGAATTAAATTATTTAAGTCAATAACATGACAGATTAGGAGTATATAGTATACAATGCATATTCATGGAAATTATTGTACTCATTTATGTACAAGTATATGATCATACACATTATGAGCTAACAGCTAATTAATAAATATGGCTTACTATTAGAAACAATTGAGACAAAAACAAAAAACAAATAAAATGGCATCTGATGCCATAATGACAATGATTAGCCATAAAGTGTATAGTTACTCTCCATCGTTATGACATTACATTGTGTCATTTTATAAAAAGGTTGTATTGATTTCATCATAGAAATAAATGTTCTACTAATTAGTGTATTGGTCATTATTATTGACCATTCGACCGGTCATAATTCCGTCCACTGGTACTACTTATACCGGTGGTATTGGTCACATAAGTACTGTACCATTCTACCGGTCTGGTCATCAGTGTTAATGATACGAGGGGGACATGTTACTTGTCTGTCAGATATATGGACCACAATGGGAGTTTATTGTGTACAGGGAACATGGGAAGTCATCGCAAATATACATAAAATATCATCATTATCAATTGGCAAGCTATGGAAAAGAGTAAAATCCAGGTCGATTCTGTAATCCAGTGAGATACCCACATCTAGTTATTACAAAACTGTCACTCACCAACAGAATAAAAGGATCACATTGCATTTTGTGCAAAAATATAGCAGTATTCCATGCAAGGAATAAGATTGTTAAAATAACTCTATTTAATAACTCTATTGTAATCCTCGAGATTCCCATTAGACTTTGTATTGCTGGATATTTCCCAAATAATTATAATACTCAAGATTACCCATAAATGTTTTATTAATATTACTTCCCATAGATATTGTATTGCTTGAGATTCCTCATAAACTTTGTGTTGCTGGATATTTCCCATAGAATTGTTTTACTTGAGATTCCCCGTAGAAATGTATCCCTTAAGATTCCTGATAGAGTTTTATAACTTGAGATTCCCAAAACATTGTATTGCTGGGTATTTCCCATAGAATTGTATTACTCAAGATTTCCCATAGACATTGTATTGCTGGGTATTTCCCTTACAATTGTATTACTCAAGATTTCCCATAGACATTGTATTGCTGGGTATTTCCTATAGAATTGTATTACTCAAGATTCCCCATAGACATTGTATTGCTGGGTATTTCCCTTAGAATTGTATTACTCAAGATTTCCCATAGACATTGTATTGCTGGGTATTTCCCATAGATTTGTATTACTCAAGATTTCCAATAGACATTGTATTGCTGGGTATTTCCCATAGAATTGTATTACTCAAGATTTCCCATAGACATTGTATTGCTGGGTATTTCCCATAAAATTGTATTACTCAAGATTTCCCCATAGACATTGTGTTGCTGGGTATTTCCCATAGAATTGTATTACTCAAGATTTCCCCATAGACATTGTGTTGCTGGGTATGTCATATTGCGTTGCTATAGATTCCCCAAAGACATATATATACTCAAGATTTCCCAAAGAAATGATCAATGCTGAAGATTTTTCCAGATATTATTTTAGATGTAAATTTCTAATAATCCCTAGTTATTTTATGTCCAATTAGATAAAACACACACCAGATGGTATGCTACATGTATTTGTTGATGCGGATGGAGTGCAGTGCTTTGTGGTGTAGTATAACCACATTGATTATATAATTGATATTACAGCCAGGATCAGTTTACTTCTGGCGCCATAAACCTTGTTTTTTCATATATAATATTCCTAATAATTAACAATTACACTGGAGTGTATTCTGACTGATATAGATTCAATGTTTGCACAGATGGTCAGGTGTTGACATGTTGGGGAACCAAGTGGTTTGAGAATATTATGTGGAGGACGTGTTATTGGGGAGCCAGTACATAGGGGTGTATAGTGTCGGACACCTTACAGCCGTTCTGTTTGGTCTGTCAAATGATATAAAATGGCAGAAGTGTTTTGTAAATGCCCCTCCCTTCACCTTTAATAGACTCAGAGCAGAAAAATATTTTCGTATCCCCCACTTGGAAATAAATTAAAACCATAAATAATGTTATTATCATCTCTCCCTTCTCAAGTTTAGAGGATACTGGGTGTTTAATTAACTCTGAATGGAGATGATGGTGGAAAAACTCCTTGGCTTGATTTAAGGAGGAACCCCTGTTACTTTTCTATGGATCTAAGCGCTCAAAAATGTCTGAGCATGATCTTCACAAGTTCTAGACTTTTTACTTACAAAGTTCAAGAAGGATGATCTTTCTCCTGAATCTTTTATTCTAGTACCATATCAAACCAGAACCTCTTTAACAGATGTCACGGAGAAGTCATGACTAGCATAATTAAGAGAAGACAATGAAAATGGCTCCGACATGTACTGAGGAAGGACTCTGACTACATTACAAAGCCAACAATCTCCTGGACACCAGAGGGAAAATGCAACAGGGGAGAACCAGTATAACCTGGAGAACGACCAACATTAACAGGAGTCGGTGAAGTTGACTTTTTTGCCACCCTACACACCACAGGTGTTACGGACAGTAAGTAATTAAGCCCCCTAACCACCCCCATCACAACCCTCTCTGGATCCTCCACTGTTTGGTGTTGCTAGGCTTGGTGCCACAGTTAGAGCCAGTAGCACCCTGCTCTATTTGTTTATATACGTCAGTCTGAGTAAACAAAACGTTTAAAAAGCTACCTACTCTAACATGACATGTACATATAATATATATTACCTACCTGTCAACACAACCAATGTCAAAATCAGCCTACCATACATAAATAGATTGCTTGATTGATTTTGTAAAATGACACCCATTCTTAATATTGAATCGCCCACAAAATTGGCCATTCACAGTTTCATTTAAATGGAATATAAGCTGTCAATTTATCATTAATATTATATAATGGATAAAATCTGTCTTTTTAATCTCAATATAGACATTTTACTGTACGGCAATTGGAGGGGAAAGTACAGAGAGGGTAATAGACTATAATCTGGCCGAGTCAACACCATTAACTTAATCGGTTCGCCACAATACACACTTTGAGAGGTTTAATCCTGCTCAGCCTTTTCAAGTTTGGAATATATACCCAAGCACATGTGATCTTCCAGAATATTCACATACACTACACATAACGTATTTAGTATTACCGTATTTGATATATTGAGTGACTCTGTCCCAATAAGTGCAAATCCCTTTTTTTGATCAAGCAATTTCAATTTCGTACCACAAACATCATCTAAATAAGATTAGATTTATTGTGACTGGTATCTTTGAGATGTCTTTTATTGAGACTGGTATCTTTGAGATGTCATTTATTGTGACTGGTATCTTTGAGATGTTTTTTATTGAGACTGGTATCGTTGAGATGTCATTTATTGTGACTGGTATCTTTGAGATGTCATTTATTGAGACTGGTATCTTTGAGATGTCAATTTATTGTGACTGGTATCTTTGAGATGTCAATTCAATGTGACCAGTATCTTTGAGATGTCAATTCATTGTGACTGGAATCTTTGAGATGTCATGTGTTGTGACTGGAATCTTTGTTATGCCATGTATTGTGACTGGTATCTTTGAGATGTCATGTGTTGCGACTGGTATCTTTGAGATGTCATGTGTTGTGACTGGAATCTTTGTTATGCCATATGTTGTGACTGGTATCTTTGAGATGTCATGTGTTGCGACTGGTATCTTTGAGATGTCATGTGTTGTGACTGGAATCTTTGTTATGTCATGTGTTGTGACTGGTATCTTTGAGATGTCATGTATTGTGACTGGTATCTTTGAGATGTCATTTATTGTGACCAGTATCTTTGAGATGTCATTTATTGTGAATGGTATCTATGAGATGTCTTTTATTGTGAATGGTATCTTTGAGATGTCATGTGTTGTGACTGGTATCTTTGAGATGTCATGTGTTGTGACTGGAATCTTTGTTACGTCATGTGTTGTGACTGGTATCTTTGAGATGTCATGTATTGTGACTGGTATCTTTGAGATGTCATGTGTTGTGACTGGTATCTTTGAGATGTCATTTATTGAGATTAGTATCTTTGGGATGTCATTTTATGAGACTGGTATCTTTGAGATGTCTTTTATTGTGACTGGTAGCTTTAAATGTCATTTATTGTGACTGGTATCTTTGAGATGTCTTTTATTGTTACTGGTATCTTTGATATGTCATTTATTGTGTCTGGTATCTTTGAGATGTCTTTTATTGTGACTGGTATCTTTGAGATGTCATTTATTGTGACGGGTATCTTTGAGATGTCATTTATTGAGACTGGTATCTTTGAGATGTCATTTATTGTGTCTGGTATCTTTGAGATGTCATTTATTGTGACTGGTATCTTTGAGATGTCATTTATTGTGACTGGTATCTTTGAGATGTCTTTTATTGTTACTGGTATCTTTGATATGTCATTTATTGTTACTGGTATCTTTGAGAGGTCATTTATTGTGACTGGTATCTTTGAGATGTCTTTTATTGTTACTGGTATCTTTGTGATGTCATGTGTTGCGACTGTTATCTTTGAGATGTCATTTATTGTGAATGGTATCTATGAAATGTCTTTTATTGTGACTGGTATCTTTGAGATGTCATTTATTGTGACTGGTATCTTTGAGATGTCTTTTATTGTGACTGGTATCTTTGTGATGTCATGTGTTGCGACTGTTATCTTTGAGATGCCATTTATTGTGAATGGTATCTATAAAATGTCTTTTATTGTGACTGGTATCTTTGAGATGTCATTTATTGTGACTGGTATCTTTGAGATGTCATTTATTGTGACTGGTATCTTTGAGATGTCTTTAATTGTGACTGGTAT